ATTGTACAGTGGCATTAAGTGCCGAAACGTGCACCTCTGCCTACCCCTTCGGGGATAAAAAGGCGTGATGTTATGTTATGTTATACCTATTTTTTTTAAACATTACATTTTATCTACCACAGGACAACCTACAGCGCAGTGCCGATATCATCATCATCGTTCCGTCGCGAGCCGTACCCGCTGCCTCACTACCCGCCGCGCCCGCCCCCAACACCCGTCGACCAGCCGCGACAGGTATCTATATACACGACCAAAATCACACATACACGTAAAACTCTTTCTTTTCTTTTAACTTACTTAGAGTCGGCGCAATATCTTGTCTTGTTCGACCTCTCTTCCTATATCGAACTCAACTCCTAAACCTCCTTTTCAAATCCATAGGACTGATACCTGATACATTCTTGAAGGTTTAAACCTTCAAGCTTATTCTACAATTCTGTCATATCAAACATCATTATATACAAACGTCCGTTCTTTTTGAAGATTCATCAGACAATCTATCTTTTCTCTTATCATCATCTTCGTCATCGTACCTTTTTATTCATCTTTTGTCTCGCTATACCCTCTCTCTGTCGCGGCGAACCTAACGGGTTACCGGGGCTCCGGCTCGACGTGCAGGAGAAGGAACGGGGTGGTTTTTAGTCAGTAAGAGTCTGACACTCCCTCCCGCCTCACCCAGGTGGGAGCAGTCATTCGATGATTTTCCCCCCTTAAAAAAATACCCTCTTTCTCGTTCTATCCTCTTGTCTGGTGATCTATCGTATTGGATTTCATCCATCTTATATCTGACCGTGCTATTCATTTCCATCCAACTGGTCTCTGATCATACTCTTCCTTCTGATTTTCTCTGATTATTTTCTTTGGATATTTTCCTTGAAAATCCATCTTCTCTTTGGTCATCCTCTACCTTTCCATTCACCTTTTATCCCTGTGCCTATTCTTTACTTTACGTATGGTACATTCCTATTTACTTCGAAACTAAGGTATACACAACATAACAAAGTTAGTATTACTTTCAATTTATTTACATATAATTTGTCTAAATGTCTACCTAGGTTTATAGGTTAGATACCAATCTAAGCTTGCCTACTCAAATAAAACATGATAAATAATGATAGACCAGCAATCTACTGTATACAGCACAAAACCTACTATATTGATGATGATTACACTAATTCATATTAAATAAAAATATAACCTATGCACCTACAAATAGGATCGAAAAAAACTCGCATTTAAATATTAAAATCTGTAAGCGAGTAAGATATCATGATGGTCTGTTACCTTGCAGCGAGAAAAGCGACCGTACAAGAGACGGAAACACAGGCATCCTGTCGTCGGCTCCGTGCAGGGGCTGAGAGGTATGTACACAATGACTAGCTCTGCCCCGAGGTACCTAGGTTACGTGGTGTGATGGTATATCGACCTAGAACATTAAATCGACGGTAAACATTGATTTATTCAAATATGCTATTATAATAAATCAACAATAAAAAGTAAGTATTACAATCTAAAAATAAAAAGTTAATAAATCTAATAAACAGACCATTATTATAGTCTGATAAATAAGTGTCTTTGACATTATTGTGTTCTTAAAATTAAAAAAAATCTAAATCAATTTTTTTTTAATCCTTGGTCAAATACTTTAAGTATGGCCGTTTTTGTTACAATGGTTTTTGATACCATAAACTTCGAGCATGATATGTCAGGTTTAAACTAATGGTTTTTGGAAATTCTTCAATACTACAGAATGGGGAATTAATATGTTTATTAATAGGTTAAACCTATTACAATGAGATTAAAGAAAACTCAACTTCAACTCCTTACGTTCGTCCAAACTGTAACTGTAAAGTAATAAAATAGCATTAGTCCTAACATTGAAATTACAACCAACATGCTGACCAATTTGTGGAGCTAGTTTAAACAGCAAATTAAGCCTTAGAAGAAAACTTCAAGCTCCTAGCTAGGCTAATGGATTATTCCATTTTGTTCACCTATGTAAACGGCGTAGAATTTTGATGCCCTCATTGAAATGAAAGGAATAATTTCGTCCAAGCGAGCAAAATGGACTTAGTAGTGTACTACTAAGTACAAACTATAGTAACCAGTGGCGTAATTATACCGCTCGGGGCCCGTGGCAAATAAAAAACAGAGAAGTTTAGATGGAAACCTCCGAACGAGACCCCTTCCAGCTGGAGGCCATGACATTTTGTCGACTTACCACCCTGTAGTTACGCCACTGCTAATAACTTACGTCAATAAACTCAGCGATCTTTTGGTCTCTCTCACTCATTTCTGTGCACATAAAAGAGTAAATAGTAATAAAAAATTGAATGTTTCCAGACTCTGGCGTGTACACGTCTTCGGAGGAGGAGAGCAGCGCCCGCGCCGAGACCTCCACTCCGCCCGACGATGGACCATTCACCTTCAGACGGAAACCCGGCTGTTATTATGAAATGGTTAGTTTTTATATACTACCTTTATACTAAGAAAGACAGAGATCAAAAAGTAATCTTTTATAGATATGCAGTATAAAAATATTAAGACTTTGACTGCCAATAAAAAACCGTTGAAGGTAAATCCTCCGCTAACGCCGGTCACCGATGACCACCATGGCGTTTAACGTGTTAAAAGAAATATCTAAATTAAACCTACCATTATCCATGTCCAGTCAACAATGATATTTAGTGTGTCAAAAAGAAAATAAAGATAGATTCAGTACAGAGACTTTTGCAGAGGTTTTGGTATAGTTGTCGTTTGTACTTATGTAGTATCTACTGTCGTTATACTGAATTAATCTCTATTTTCTGAACTGTATACCAAATAACTTAAACTTTTAGTACATGAGTTATTATAGTTAAAAATTGTGACTCCTATAGTGTGAATCCATTTAAAGACATTAATGATTGTCCCAACATAATTATTTGGAACCTACAGAATCTATTAAAATGCCTGGTTATACTAATCAAATATAACTTTATCTAATTTTTTTTTATCCTTCCTATATCTTCAATCAGATTTAGTAGTCGTGTGTAATATAGTGTAATGTTTACAGCCGACGTCTACGTTGTACGGAGACCCGTTGGATCCGGAAGATACCTCCGCCGACGCTTTGTGCGAACACGAGGTCGATGAGAGGCATAGGTATGTTATATATAGCTTGTTTGTATATTGTTTAATCGAATGGCGGAAAGAAATCTAAGAGTGTGGTTGTATAATTTTAATTAGCAAAGGGGATGTCTAATTGCATGTGACTGTGTATGGCAGTATGGCCGTATTTAATTGGTCGAACTAACGTTCCCTCATCTCAAGTTTATAAGATTCTATTTTTATGAATTTCGTGAAGTTCAATGATTGTCGACGTGTGATTAACTAAACTCAACAGCCATGTTGATAATGTACAAGATACTTCAGACAAGTTGAGAGAAGAAAAATTTAAAAATAGTAAAACCGCATTCATCTTCTGTCGTTTAAAAGTTCACTTCATCAATCAAGACAATTTTTGAATATAAATGTCTAAAGTTATCACACTACATACGTAGTATGAAACAAAGTCGCTATCCGCCGTCTGTATGTCCCTATGTATGCTTATATGTTAAAAACTACGCAACGGATTTTGATGCGGTTTTTTTTTAATAAAGTGATTCTTTAGGAAATTTTATATGTATAAAATACATGCATATTGTACCCGAGCAAAGTCGGGGTGGGATATTTATAAGTTAGTTTATATGAATCCAATGTGCGGCAGGTACACGCTGACGTCGCTGCGCGCGGCGGGCGGCGCGCGCTGCGTGGGGTTCGCGCGGCGGCGCGTGGGTCGCGGCGGCCGCGTCGTGCTCGACCGCACGCGCACGCCGCTGCACGACCTCTTCACACAGCTGCCCTTCACCTTCACCGACTCGCACCACTACCGCCAGCAGAAGGATGAGGAGGTAACTACATTATTCTTTTTAAACTAACGGACGGTTTCGTCTTACAATTATATTTTTCGACATATGAACTGTTTCTTAACAATAACAAACACAACAAAAAAATAACAAGAGTAATCGGTTTAGCAGCTCTCAACGATTCATACGACGTTTTCGAGGATTTTTTTCGTACGATACTACCGAAAACCACTTAAAATTCTGGTTGGGCTCAAAATTAGTCAGGCATATCCGAAATTGATTGCAACCGGGTTTCAACCGGATCTGGATGTCCCTGGGGTCTATATCCAGCAGTGAACATCTTATGGCTGATATGATGATGTTGATGACCAGAAATAAAGTCAAAGTCAAAACATTTATTTCAATTTAACCATAGTTTGGTACTTTTGAAACGTCAACAAATACAAAATAAATAATAGTCTGTCAGTCAGTCCGTTAGTGAAGCTAGGTGCATAGAAATTAAATTACATTTATTTATTTAAATGTCGTGGTGGCCCGGAGGTTTAAGACGCCCACTTCTCATGCATGAGGGTGCGGGTTCGAAACCTACCAACGGCAAGTACCAATGTGACTTTTTCCGAGTTATATGTACTTTCTAAGATTATTTAGACACCACTGATAAACGGTGAAGGAAAAACATCGTGAGGAAACCTGGACTTATAATTTAATTATAAGTTTGAAATCGCCAACCCGCATTGAGCAAGCGTGGTGATTAACGCTCGAACCTTCTCCGTGTGAGAAGAGGCTTTGCTCAGCAGTGGGCATTTATAGGCTGTTGATGGTTGATGGATCACAATCTAATAACTATATTCCCTCTATATTTCAGGTGGAACTCGAGACAAAAGCGCATCGTACGCCTAAAGAAATGACTCGAGATTACCATACGAGCGGGAAATACCCCTGGAGACACGCGTTCCGACGACATCTAGCCAGGAACCCAGAACTCTGGACAAAGCCGGATCCAGACGATCCAGACGACGGACTCGCAGACAGAAATACCCTACCAGACGTTATACAAGACAGTGTTAAAAGTGATATTAGATTTAGTGCAAGGACTATAGATGAAGTTGTTCAGGATAATCTGCAGAGAGTTATGAGGAAGCGTTCGTACAGCGGCTGCTCGGACAGTAGCTACGACTCCGATGAACCTCTACAACCCGTCGAGAAGGAGTTCGAACAGTTTATCAATGAAGTTAATAAGAAATGGTGAGTAAATGTTATAATCATTCATCATCAATTTTACTAATGTTATATTACGAAAGTGGGAGTGCCTGGTTTGCCGAGTGGTTGCAAGTGCGACGGGCATGGGTTCTCGGGTTCGATTCCCGTGTCGGGCAAAGTAATTACTGAGTTTTTAAAGTCTCAGTAGTAGCGCGAAGTTTGGTATTGTGCCCGGTATATGGCAATAGGCTCGACCCCTATTACATGGGACTCATAACATAAATAGTGATAGGTGGGTGTTACATTGTGCAGTGGCATTAAGTGCCGTAATGTGCACATCTGCCTGCCCCTTCGGGGCTAAAATCCGTGATGTTATGTATTGTGTGTAAGCCTGTCGGAATTAATCCTAAATGCAAGAATACTTCATTTCTAGGACTTTGTCAATAGATTACACAAAATCTAGACTTGTTAGGTAACATTACATTTTCTTTGATGGACACACTATGGTTCAAATACTGAACTTTGTAGACCATGTACTCATAAACATTTTTCATTTCACTTCCAGGTTACATTTCCGACCGAAAACACCGCCGCCTTCGCCACCCCGCCAAGAAAAGCCTGACCCCGATCAGTTCCCGATCGCCCTAGACACCCCCATCTCTGTAGAACTCAGGGCCGCTGAGAAGCCCCCGACCGAAGGCCTAGACTCGTTCACTACTTCGGAGTTCACCCTTGGAGAATTGTACCCGGATATTACCCCGGATATAGATAATAGTGCCGGTAGCTTGGACATCAGCGGTGATGATCTGCTTACTGAGAATTTTACGGGTGAGTTTTTTTTTTAAATATTTATTGAATATATTTGAGATTTTTGACAAAGGTTTTGATGAAGTAGAAACGACGACACGGTTGGTGCGGTGTCTGGGCAACCGATTGCCACGCAACGTGTCGCGGGTTAGATTCTCGCACGGAGCAACTCTTTGTGTGATCCACAAATTGTTGTTCAGTGACTGTGTGTGATGTGTATGTGAACTTGTATGTTTGGCAACGCACTCACGACACACGAGAATATCCTAGTGTGGGGAACGTTATGATTATTAAATTTATTTTTGTTTATTTTTAACATTACATTCGTTTTTAGATAATGGTAATATTCTTGGGAGCCTTTTTTATGGCATAAGCCGGTAAACGAGCAGACGGATCACCTGATGGTAAGCAATCAGCGTCGCCCATGGACACCTGGAGCACCAGAGGCGTTACAAGTGCGTTACCGGCTTTTTGGGGATTAGGAGTTTGAGCATCGTTGGGGAGATTGGGGAAGGGGAGGATAATTGGGCCTTAGATTAGAGTAATATTCGCCGTATTGTAACAACAGTAAATTGCATTTTGTCACCATCCGTACTCTTCCCACGACTGTCATAAGAGCCGATTAATGAACTACACATTTGACAGAGACCAAGCAACAGCGTTCTTTATTAAATTTGAATCATTTAAACTGTGATATCCAAGCCAAACGTGAAGATAGTCCAGAAGTAGACTTACGGACTGTTGATCACATTTAATCTATATATATATAAAAATGACCCTTTTCCCGTTGTCACGCCATAACTTTAGAACGGCTAGACCGATTTTGTTGTTAATTTTTTTGTTGTGTTTGTTATTGTCAGTAGAAGGTTCTCAAGACAGAAAAAATCGTACGGGAACGGGAGAAAACAGGATTGCGCGTACGAAGTCGCGCGAAAAAGCTAGTGATTTGATAAAAACTTTTTCCTTGTCTTTTACAGGTCTGACGGAAGCGCAAGTGGAAAGCATACTATCAGAGACGGACCTCAAGGCATTAGCAGAGGAGGACGACAAGAAGATAGCCATAACGGACGATATCTTGGATGAGCTGGTGAACAACGTGGACGCTAAGGATTCTTTTTTATTGCACGGCCAGAGTTCGGACGGGCGTGCCGACTCTGGCCCGAGGAAGAGAAAGGTAAGATATGTTATCTTCTATATGATTTTATATTAAAATTGAATCTCTTATTAAATAGTAGGCACATAACTCGTCTATGACTTATTGAAATATTCCTTTTTTGTATCGTTTGTTCTTGTGTAGTTGTCGTTGTAAAAATTGTCAACATCATTCGGAAGTCGAGAATTTGTACATTAAATGAGAATTTCGATAAGGAAACAATAATAAGTATGAGTGTATGACTTGTTAAGTAACTTATGGAAAACTGGTGAAGTGAACCAGAATATTACATTGTGTAACATATGCACAGCTACATTATTACAGATTCGAACATAACATAACATCACGCCTCGAAGGGGTTTTATCCCCGAGGTGCACATTACGGCACTGCGCAATGTAACACCCACTTTTCACTATTTATGTTATGAGTCTATGTAATAGGGGGTGAGCCTATTACCACATATCGGGCACATTTCCAGACTCTGTGCTATTACTGAGATTTAAAAAAAAACCCAGTAATACTTTGCCAGACCCAGGAATCGAACCCGAGACCCCTTGCCTGGCAGTCACACTTGCGACCACTCGGCTAATGAGGCAGTACAGATTTGAATTTATTGAATTTTAAATCCTCGCGAATCGTCATCTCAATTAAGGATGCTTAAAGAAATTTAATGGTAAGCTATATTTTCTAATAATCTCATTTCTTTCCCAGGCGGACGCGTTTGGTTCGACCGTCGTGAACGTAACGAACGCGGATAAAGAAGTAATTTACGTGGACATGGTCAAAAACGAACCGCCGCCGCCAGTCAAGATCGAAACGCCCAAACCAATCAAAGAGGAGAAGGTGGCAGAATTACCAGCGCCAGTACCAACTTCTAACATCATTGTTGAAGAAGTTAACGAGATACCACACATCAAAATCGAGAAGAAACGCAAAGAGGACACCATTGAGGAGGTCCAGTTACCTCACGGAGTCCAACTAAAGACTGTTCAGACGAAGCACTCGCCGTTAAAGAAGCATATTATTACCTCCACCGGGCATCGAAGAGCGAGCGATGTTGCTATTGTGACCTCTGTGGCCACTGAACCACAAGCTCCTGCGCAGCCTCAAATCGTTACTGTTGCTGTTTCTGATAGTTTGAAGGTATGTTATATTAAAACTTTCATCAGATATAATTAATTATTATGTTTTCGGCTTACTCACGTAACAGGGTACTTGCCAACTAGTCAAATTCAATACTTTTTTCGAACTGTCAAAAACGAGAGTTTTCTATGAATTTTGTTCGAGATTGTGTATTGTGACGTCACTTTTTCTAACGTCAAACAGCATAAGTACTTATTTCTTAAAAATATGCTGATGCAATATTAAAATTAATATTAAATAAAATCAATTAATGAAAATGTGATTAATTTTTAATAGATTATTGTATTGAACAGTCGAAATCGCGAACCCGCATTGTGCAAGCGTGGCTATTAATGCTTTAACCATTTTCGTACAAGAAGAAAGAAGCCTTTGGTCAGCAGTGGCCACTTATAGGCTGTTGATGATGATGATGTTACTTTATAAAACAAAATATGATAATATTATGTTTCAATGTTTGTATTGCTTCAGGTCCGCTTACAAAACCACCTCCTGTCTGCTCAGTCGGGAGTGCTCGTACAGAACGGACCGTTCCCTCCCGTCGTCGCCGTGCCCGTGCAATCTAGGGATAACACAGGTATGCACCAGTTTTTAACTTTTTTATTAATAGACTTCTGTTGTAAATAGGTTTTAAAAAAACAATGTCAAAAGATATGTCTATGTTTTTTTTCGTCATCAAACTTTCCTACAAGCTTTTTTGTCGGTGGTTAAAAAAAAACAAAGAAGTTGATTGACACTGTGACATGAACAATAAGTAGAAAATATGTAACGAACATATCATGTCTCGCCTCTAGCAAATCTATTATAAAGAGTGTCCCTGAAGTCAACGATCAAATGGCACCAGGTGATCTGAGAGAAATATAGAAAAAAAATCTAAGTTATGTAGTTTTTAAATGACTTATGTGTTATCAGCGAAAAAGTACACCTTGTTCCAGTTTTTTGACTCTTGTTGCTACAATTCTTTATTTTTCCGTCTGTATTTTGCTTACGTTATCCTCAATCCTGAATAGTGCTTCAGTATTATAGAATCATAAAATCTGGGCGAACTGCTGTCGACCTTCTTAAAAGTAATGTTGAAGAATGTCCTTCTGATTTTCGGTTTCAATACACAAACCCCCAAGGAGTCATTAAAGCGTTTAAAGATATCAAAGTTTAGTCGACTGAAGATCTCTGGGGAATGTCGGTTAGAATGTGTAGGGCTTTCATAGAAACTATAGCGCCTCATTTAGCTTTCATTTTTAATAAAAGTGTAGATCAAGGAGTTTTCCGGATTTAATGAAACACAGTCAAGTAGCTCCATTGTTTAAATCCGGTGACAGCTCGGAACTCAATAACTATAGGCCGGTCTCTCTTTTACCAGTACTTAGTAAAGTGTTTGAAAGACTGATGCTTGCACAGATGCTGCGTCACTTTAACATGAATTCTATCTTTCATGATCAACAATACGGGTTCACCAAGGGACGCTGCACTACTGACGCGGGAATAGCTTTAATTAAACGTGTTGTTGCCTCATGGGAAGAAGCAAAGGGCGCCATTGGAGTATTCTGTGATCTTTCGAAGGCATTTGACTGTGTTGAGCACGAGACATTTTTGCTGATGCTGGAACACTACTGGCACTAGGGGTATCGCTAAATCTATTAAAGTCATACCTTCGGGATAGGCGACTTAAAGTGCAAGTAAATATAGTAAATTCGCAGGGTGCTAGCATATCTATGGGTGTACCGCAGGGCTCGGTACTAGGTCCTTTCCTATTTTCGGCATATATAAATGACTTGCCCCATTTATTCCGGAATGAACCGCAGATGGTATTATTTGCTGGTTGCACATCACTGGTATTTAAAATAAGTATACGAACAAATAATTATGACGATGTAAATAATGGAAGCGTTTTACCTACCAATAAAACGCATATTAATTTACTTACCTTATTCGAAGCTTATTTAATTGAGATAGGCCTTCCGCTTCCCTCCTTCCGCTTTTCCTGTATGTCTATCTCTTTCTACTACGTCACTTCCATTTGGCAGTGGTGGGGAGGCTTGCTAAGAGAGACTCGCCATTTTTATTTCATTGAGTCTCATTACCAGGCAGAGCTTGACTATAAGCTTCGAATAAGGTAAGTAAATTAATATGCGTTTTATTGGTAGGTAAAACGCTTCCATTAATTTGACTTGACCGTTATTCGAAGCTTATTTAATTGAGACGTGTTTGTTATCGCCTGGTGGAAGTGACAGACGCCAATGTGAGGTAGTATGACTGCGTTGACCGCAGTCGTACTACCTGGTATGATGTGGTAAAATCACAGAATAGAAAAGCTAAGAAAAATAGCAAATATCTAAAAACATATACATGTTTTGATGAAAGGTATTGAATAGAAAACCTGTTATTTTTAATTTTTTCAATAATAATTGTATTTGATCTGAACAAAAACAGATGTTATATATTTCTGAGGTATTTTATTGCCTCGTTTCTAATTTTCTAATCGTCTGTATTGAATAAAAAGGTGACATACAAAGGCACACACATCTTAGAAAGGATCGCCTCAAAAGGATAACTATCCACTAAATTTTTTCAGATCACAGCTGATCTGAAACCCTCAGGATATCTTGGGGGATTACTGATATCTTAATATCGGTTACCACCAAGAAGGAACTTTATCCTGACCGCAATTA